TTAGAGTCACAAGAGGTATTCCTGGACGGAACAAAAGCCAGTAGAATTGAGTATGAGGCCCTGGAGGCAACGGGCAGTTGACGAAGTACAAGTACTTTTTAATTAAATTGGAATTTCTTCATGACAAACACTGCGACCAAAGCCCACAACAACACCTTCTGGCTCGGTGTATCTTCATTCATCCCAATGAATCAGTCCAGGCAATGTTGTTTAGCCACTGGGTAGAAGCTCTCTTACAACCAGGACCTGCATACGTGATTCTACTGGCTTGAATGAACTGTTCTCGTGATCTTGCAAAGCTTTGATTCGTACGCTCTCATGATACTCACGATATTACCAGCATGTTCTGCATCACCAAACTTCAAAATGTGCATCTTCGGCATCTCCAACTCACCAAAAATTATCTCCGCAAAAAAAAGAAAATGCCACCAAATCTCCACTCGATCCCCACCTCCTTTCTTGGCCAATCTGCGGATATTCCGCAGAATGCGATCCTACCAAAGGCGGCACTTCTTCAAGCAAGCAGGTGCAGGTGAACGCACGCTTCTGTCCTGCTCGTAGTCATTGCTCTTTGTGTCATTCAAGTACTTGACGAAGAGTCTGAGAATGTATGGCACCTTTTGTCCAAAGAACAGCTGGACCGAAGAATAGCTTTTGGACCGACGCTGTTCCACCTCCCCACCGGGTCCCCCACCTCCTGGGACATGACGGTGGCGGCCTCCACGGGGCAACGTCCATGTGACACGACGAGCACGTTGAACAAAGACGAGCAACGTGATCGATTCACTGATGTTTGGGAGAAAACGAAAGACAAACCTCTTCATTTGAGCGAACAATTTTTTTAGGCCAAGGAACGAAGACATGAAGGGCTTCAAGCGCCCCAGGGCCGTTGCTACACGCGATGTCGCTTCCGACTGCCACTCGGAAGGGTCTATGAGATCGGACGATTGATCAACAGCAGTCACTTTGTCACTCGCGAAGAAAAGGGGACACAAAACGGGCCTCCTTGGCACTTCTCAAAGCAGTGAGAGGGTAGGGCAAAAGGAAGATCAGAATGGTCAAGAACGCTCCCAACATCACATTGGTCCTTAAGGTCAGCAGGTCAGCACCTTCTGAGAATTCCGCAGAACTGTCCAAAGCATCGAGTGTGGGCACAGCAATGCAAGATGATGCAAGTATGGCAGTCATGCAGAAATATATTTAAGCAAACTGTGGTTCGTCCATTTCACATTATTTCTGCCAAGCTTTTGGTCGGCATCAAGCTCTGTGCAGCTGAGTTTCAAGTCCTGGATACCTTGATTCTTGTAAATGCCTGGGAGAACATGGCCCAGTCGCGGTGTTTGGATTTATCATAATGAATAATTGGTATCTCTTGGTGCTCAGATTGGCCCAATTTGGAAAATTGCTCAGATTGGTTCCCCAGCACCCCAACAAAAAATCAGGACCTCTCTGACACTTGCGTCACCGGCATGCAAAAAGAATTTTAAAGAAACTCCGAAACACAGAAACATGAGGATCCCGGTCTTTCGGTTTTTGCTCAGGCACTAAATCCAGGATTCCAGGGAGCTTTGATTCCTTCTTGATCTGCCTTCAGGAACTTCATCCTGACAGCGAACGCCAGACTGTGGATGATGCGATGTTCATCCAGGTGAATAGGGACTAAGTTACAAGGAGTCACAGGAGGCTCGATCAGGTGAGGCAGGTGCTATCCACACACCAAACAGTGCAAGCAAGGACGGTCCAATATCCACTGAAGAGTTTGATGCTGAAGACCATCGCACCTGTGTCCTCGAAAAGGGCTCGAAACATCCCAAAACGTGTCTCAGCCCAATGAAGGATGAGACAAACGTCCCAAAGCCGCACAGCCAGTCCGGGCCGCTTAGTGAAAAACATGTCCAGCCCTGCTTCACATGGCTGGCTTGGTTGAAATGCAGATAAGGCACAAAGTTCAAGTGTACCTGAGACGTGCATTTCGCAAGGCAAGACTGTTTTCATGCAGTTGAAAGATGTGGTCAAGGCACCAATATCTTTCAGCCAAGGAGCAATGGTGATTAAAAAGAAGCAGCCCTCCGCGAAACCAAACCACCACACCAAAGTGGATTCCTTGGAAGCTGCCCTCACAATTCACGTGCACACTTATTGCCTTTTCACAGTTGCATGTGACATTAACAAGCTTTCGAAACAAAGTGCCGTGTCCAAGAAATTCAGACTTATCCAAAAGATCTGCCCCTTCCTCTCAAAATCTGCCGACAAGATTCATCTTCAGTGTAGCCGTTGGGGAAAAGGCCGAAAAGGCACCAAGCATTGCACACCTTTCCAGGCTGAATGATCAAGCTTTTCGGCTTCAGCTACAATGCGCATGAAATCAAACCCATCGAATGAAGGGGATGCAAAATTTAGCCAGAAGGATCCAAAAGGCATTCGGCTTCGGGAACCGACCCGTCACCAACATCCCTAACCGCTCCCGCTTTTTCCTTGTGGGCAAGCCGTCACCGCTCGTGTTTTGTCACGCAACTACCAGGTAAATGTCAGGTAACTATATCTCTCTCTCACTCTCTCTCTCTCTCTCTCTCACCCTTAATGTAGACTGTTGAGGAATAAAACCCCAAATGGAGATGTAATGTAAAGCCATTCTGGTAGGGGGGTTATGAATTCATTGAGCATCTGAGCATCTCTCTATTTATATAATATATTTATATATACATACATGACAAGCTGCTGCCATCTCCACCAAGCTGCTGCCAGCACGACTCCTCGAAGCCCGCTGGACGTGGCCGCCATGGTGGAGCCCAGGTTGGTTTTGATGTGAAGTACCTGGACGAGGGGCGGCTGGAAGGGATGCAAGAGATGGTTGGACCCAGTTCATTTCAAAGGATCCGTGTTTTGATGCATCAATGTTCCACCAAACATGAGGAAATGAAATGACATTCCAAGAAATATCACTCTCAACAAAAGCCGTGCCACGTCTTTTGAGAATCAGTCTGCACTTTGACTGAGCTCCATGCTATGAAACTCACCACTGTCACCGCATAGAAACCTCCAGGTGGCACCCCGGGGCCACACATTTGGGAGCCATGAGATGCATCGAAAACCCGTTCTATGGCGGACCTTCACATGGTTGCCTCTCCCGCATCTAATTAAAAAATTGCTAAGTAAAAAGAGCCTGACCCAAATGCAATACCTTCACCTTCCAAAACCCATCAATTTAGACCCGAACATACCACACCGCAACAGGAGGAAAGTCCTTCAACGCCTGAATCGACGAACTCGTCGAGTGCTGGAATGGCTCCAGTCGGTAGCAGAAAGGGCAGTCCTCGGTGGCCGGTCAGCTGGCAGGGTGCTGGCAGGGTGCTGGCGCCGGGTTCAGACGATGCAACGAACATCCGCAGAGAGATCAGGTAGCAGGACATCAGCATGTGGTGAGACCAAAGGAGGTCAAAGCAGCTAGGGTGAGGAGGCGATGTCGACCAGTAAGAGAGGCAAAATAATCTACAACAACTACAGAATCTCCGATGTTCTCATCGAAAGGGTCTCGGAGTAGGCTTAAGGCAAGGCAACTCAACTAGCCAGCTTTCACTACTTCTGGGCAAATCAAATACACCTCATGGAGCCATGGGTCAAACATGGCACACTGGGTGAAACCTAGTCCACCAGACCATGATGTTGAAACATGAAGAGTTCCCACGGTGAGTGATTAAGTTAAATCCCTTTTGGAATTTGAAACCTAAGAAACTGCTGCCGAATGACCGCAAATGACCAGAGAAAAGGCAGAGCGGGCTGCCAGCTCAGCACATTCAGCAAATCGAGGATTGTGCTCCTCGGGCTCTGAGCCAGTTGTCTCACTAGAGAATCTCTTCAAAGACCTTCAAGGTGATGCTCTGTCATGAATCATCTTGCAAGATTTCACAACAGCTGTGCTACTACAAGTCCACGTACGTGCAACGCGAGTGAAATCTGGCAATTTGAACGACACCCAACATGAACAGTGCCATCAAGGCTCGGAAAGCAGGCACCTCGGCGAGTGAACTCTCACAGCTGACTGTCTGGGACCCTCTGGGACCCTCGGCACCTTTGCACCAATTCGCGACAGCATCCCACTGGCCACCCTCTGCCTCTTGCGACCTCGGTGCTTCCGGTGCCAACAACTTACTGCACCTATGGATGTCCACTCACGAAAAAGATCCTATTCCTTGGAAGTTCTCTTCAAACCTGTCTTTCGGCATTGAGGGCAAAGCTGGTCTGACCAAAGGGAAGCTGTCCTCGCCGAGGTTCAAGTGGCTGAGTCCCACGCTCATCACCTGTCCCACAACTCGTTCTTGTGCCACTGATGACCAAAAAGAAATGCACCTTGTATTGTAGCAAGGACGCAATTAGGTGGAGGCCATCGCAAGTAGGTTGGAGGCCATCGCTACGAACGTAACAAGAAGCTACTAGTCACAAAAGGCATATCTACTAGGAGCAAGGATGCTACTAGGGGCTCCTGGCCTTACTACTAGTAACAAAAAGCTACTAGTGCACCAAACATCAGCCCGAGAGGTGCATCTCCGGCCTTCGTTCACCCCATGGCGACATTGGACGACGGACCGACATGACGGCGACCGCACGACCCGCACATGGCATTTGGATGTCCGGAGTTGGTGGGCTTCACTTGTTCGCATCGAAGAAAGGAAGATAACCGATGACCACTGAAACCACGCCGATGAGGCAGCCGTCTTTATGTGTTTGCTTGGTCAACTCAAAAACCAAAGTGTTTCAGAGTCTAAAAGCGATCGGAGATACGAATGCAACCACATTGAGTCACTCATGTAGCGGATCATTAAAGGTGATGTTTTGGGCCTCTGCCCTAAGTCTCTAAGTCATTCCGCAAGCTGATCGAGCCACAAGTCATGACGGCACCGGTCGTCCAACAGCGCTGCACATGATTTGGCAATCAGAATCTGTGTTGATTGTCTTTGAAGAGTGGGACACGAGCAAAACCAATGGTGCCATGAGCGAATGGCCTCCTCTTCGGCACAAGCACCTCAAGACTCGGCACGGAGCCTCAAGGCCTCTTGTAGCCATTCTTGGAGGGTCAAACTGGACGTCAGAAACCCAACAAAGACATCATTCGGATGGTTAAGACCGAAATCTTTCCCCTTATGACCTGTCCAGCTCGCTGCTGCGAACGTCCAAATGATGTTCCAAGAGCTCCGAAAATGAACGCAACAGTCTACCGTCTACCATGCCTTTGCCGGAGGACTACACTTGTACCCGGATCTTGACCACACAGACCTTCGACACCGCTGAGCTGCACACACAGAGTCCAAAGCTTCTCGAGCGCCAAGGACCAACGTCCAGAGATACCGCCAGCCTGACACTTCGGACGTTGGTCCTGACCCCCAGGAATCCCTTCCGTCTCAAAAGACCCCGCAGTGTTCTGCCCCAAAGCCTTAGGTCGGGGTGCCCCCCCTGTCATGTCCGGGCCCCCGGGTCGGCCGGGTCGTGGTTGGTCGTCTCTCAGTGGGTATCGATGGAAGCCGGCTGGACTGAAGCACTGTCTAGAGTCTATAGACAAGGTCAAAGGATGTCAAGAGTCAAAGGCTGAGCCTCTCCGCATTTTTCTTCGAAGCTTCGGTATCAAATCGGACGTTGAGGCTCAGGCGGTCAAGAGGATCTCATTGGCAAATTTGTTCAGCCTCAGTCTGACTTGGCGCATTGTTTGCCCTGTGCCTTTGAGCCATACCGGCCTCGCTCACTGCTCCGTCTTTGCAATTCCAAAGGCAACCCGCTGCTTGCCTTGCTTGCCCTTTTAGCTTGCTTCACTCCCAAATCCCTTTATGACTTTGTCTAGGCTCTTGCTTCGACACCATGTCACAGGGTTCTGCCTTCATCTCCGGTAAGCTCTTGAAGCCCAGGGACCCAGGAGCCAAAAAGATCAAAGATTCCGCCCTCCATGAGACGAGGCGGTGGGTGACTCCGTTACCAGGTAACCACGGACGGGACGGAGAGAGGTTCATTGATCCTAGGCTGAGATGGCCATTCCAATCATGACATTCATCTGAGCTCATCACGTGATCCCCTCCTTCTGGAACTGATCTGAAAGATCCACTGCCAACTGCCATTGCCCAGCCCTCTCCTTAGCGACGATCTCAAGCACAGTATCCCGCGATCTCAAGAACATGTTTGAGAAAAAAGCATCGACAAAAACATGCAGTTGTCTTAAACTAACAGAGAAACCCGAAACCCTGAAAAACGTGCAGGTGTCATTGTCCTCACACGCGACGGTGTCTCAGCCAGTGGACACAACATCGCATTGCGGCATTGAAGCCCAGGATCTGCAAACGCAGCGCGCCTCGACGGGCACCTGCAAAAGTGAAGAGCCGTGTTAGACCTCGTACCGTTGACCAGGGAACAAGTGTTAGTCCTCTCAAAAAAAAAACACACCTTGGTTGTCCGACAACAATGACTGGCTTGAACACAACCAGCTAACTCACGGTCTAGCCAGATTTCATGTAGAGATAAAGGTGTGAACTGCCTTTTGATCATAGCGCATGATACAAAACTTGCATTGTCACAAGCATCACGAACACCAGCTCCGGCAAGGAATTTGTCTGCCACTCCGGTTGTTCCACCAAACCAGGACAAATCCCACACCCAAGTCATATTACAGTAACAAGTCTTGCAGTGATCCAAATTTTACCTTTCAACTTGAAGAGATCCCATTCTTGGAAGACGCTTGTGTCCCACCTTCCAGCAAGGCCAAAGCTTGTTGCCAGTCTCTGCCACAGGCCGCAATGGCCTGACGCAATTTGGCATCCTTGGTCGACGCAAAGACATCCAAACCTGACCTTCTGTCTGATTCGCAAGGTTTATAGTGTTTTTGTTTTTGGGTTTCGGTGAATGGAAAGAATGGAAAATGCAGAGATGGCACTCGTCTGGCCATCCACTGCAAGCAGTGAACTTGGGGTGATGATTCAGTGCAGCTGAGTGACAGAGGAGCTTCTGATGAGATTGGCAATTCGGGCATTCCTTTGTTGGCAAAGCGATCAAGCGATATCCAGAGAGGTTTAACACAAAGTTGTCGAAAACAGAATAGGTGAGAGGCTGATTCCTTTTATTTGTATACCTTTCAAGTATTTGAAATCAAGACATTGTCCGACAAATTATTCCATAGTACTTCCATAAGGATATTCATTTCGCATTACCTCACGACTCTGTTGAACAAAAAGCCCATCGCAGCATGGCAGGGCACACACTGAGCTGCTGCCAAGATCCTTCGGTACTTCTGCAGTAAATGTGCCTTTCATCCGAATAGAGCTATATAATTCAAACGTCATGAGAGAGAAAGAGTGCTTTACAAATAAAACCTCTAACGAAGACAGGTCACAAGTTAGCAACATCAGACTTGCCCTGAAAATGTTGCAAAGGGGGTGCAATTCTCGGGTGCATCAATGCGACCAACCCCAACCGTCGCCTCATCAATGCGGCCTGCATCGGTGCATCCAGCGCATTCGCGACAGGGGTGTCCAAAAACAATCAAACCAGGCCGACTGTTTCGTGGGTCAATACAGTAAGTTCTTCTTTCCCGGGGCAACCAAGCCTTGCACACTCCAACAGAACAAAGCTGGTCCGAACTTCCAAACTATGCACACGCAGTGCTCGAGCTGACCAGCGTTTGTTCCACAAAGTGTCATAACCAAACTGAATGACCTCTATATCGAGTGATGTAGTATTTGGATGTATTTGTGTTTACACATATATAATTATGATAGTTCAAAAGCTGCAAGTTGAAACCATTGAAACTAAACCAAAAGCGCTGGCCTGTCTCTGGAGACAGCCCATCTACAACACCAGCCATTGAATCTGGCAGGTATGTCTCGAATCGAAGCCGGTCAGTCCGAGCAAGTCAACAAGTCCACCAGCTCACACTGGAGCCTAGTTGAGGCAAGAATGCATTCCAAAGTCCACAATTGGTTGTGACAAGCAGAAAACGACAAAAGCAGCAAAGCTGCCTCTCCATCTTGGTCTACTCAAAGTCTAAGGCTTTCCAATGCACGTCGTATGGTTGGTTCACCCGAGCAGGCTTTGCCGTGGCGGATCTCTGACTTCTTCACCTGTTCTGAAGGGAACAAAAGGTGTGTTGGGAATGAAAATTAGTAAACAAGCAGGCAAATAGGCTGCTGTTCAATACAGAATTGGTGACTACAGGGGAGTCAGCAGTCCTGACTTGAGCCAAGGATAAGAGACACATACTGCAAGTTCCAGTCATAAAGCCTTTCTTGCCGTCCATTTTAGCTTTGTAGCTACAGCACCACTTATTCTGCTACCTGATTGATCATTCAATCAATCTTGCAAACCCTTGATTCGCATCTTGCTCAACAACTCCTTCACTGGATACCTCTGATACCTCTCTTTTCTGCTGGAATCAATCCGGCAGCGTCGCCAACCAAACTCTATTGTAGCGCCGGCAAGTCCTCAGGCACATCTTTCTGTGAAATGGGTCTTTGTCACTCTCTGCTCTTACAATTCTCACCGAATCTGAAGCTTGACATCTAAATTGAACCTGAATCCACCTCACATCCGACCAACTCTTCAGACCCGACGAAGATCGGCGACGAAGATCGCCTCCAAAACAGCTTCCGCTGCTCGCTGGCCAGAGCGCATCGCCGAATCCAATGTGGGTTCGGCACAGTGGTCGCCGCAAACGTAGATCCCCGACGCCACTGGCACACGGGGCTGAAGTGTACGAGGCCACTGGGCAGGTTGGTGAAAATCCAAATGATAGACACGCAGCAAGCGCCAAGCATCCAAAGAACCAATACCAAACAAACATCCGAGTTCATGGCGCACCCAACTCTCACCAAATCCTAACTTCTCAGGTCCTCGTACAGTCACAGCAGCCAAATCCCATCCCTTGGGAGCGTACGATGGTTGAACCAGTGATGGAAAGGCAACATTCACAAGTCTGGGCAGATCAGCTTCATCAGGACCCGTCTGTAAAGTGCTGTTCAAGACAATCAGTGGCTCTGAAACCGGTGGCGGAGAGGGCAAAGCGAAGTACCAGGTCGAACTGCGTGTACCCTCATCAGTTTGATCCAGCTCCGGCAAAAAGGCTCTGGCAGCTGGCAGATCCACAGCTAGAACCACTGCGTCAAAATCCTTCCATTCTGCATCAATACGCACTCCTGTTGGACGTACTTCAACAATCGGAGAACATAATCTCACCAACAGATCTTCTGCAAGCTGATCAGCTACAGCTTGCATGCCCCTCTCTGGTAAAGAGGTGCGCCCCTCAGCCAACATGCGCAGAACAAATCTGAAGCAGGCAGAAGATTGCTGTGCCAATGGCGTAACGTATATTGCTTCAAAGAATGGCCGAAGAAAACGATCCACAAGCACTGTTGACAGGCCAAGCTTCCCAAGCATGAAACTCTCAGTATTGGGTGGAGGTGTACCTTGACACTCTTCTAAGGCAGTGTACGGCCCTTCAAAAAAGACTTGTTTGAAGCGCAGCAGTAGCAAGATCAACAAGTCTTTGATCGAAGCAATCCCAGAAGTGATGGTCCTCAAAATGTATTTGGGACTTCTGATAGGATCTGAAACCATACGCAGTTCCCCTTTCCCAAACGCCAGGAAGGCTCCAGGTGCAAAGCTCCGAAGACCCAGCCTCCTGAGACTGGTATTGATGTTGCCAACAAGTGCATCGCTACTAGTAACAAGGGCATTACTACTAGTAACAAAAAGCTACCAGCTACCAGTCAGAAGTCGTACAAGTCGAGTAAGGGTCTTAAAGTCACCGCGGTTTTGACTGCATCACACGACGGCTGTGTCACCAACCTAAAAATTGCCACAAATGAACACTCTGATCAAGCAACTTCAAGTCCAACTGGCGCTTGACTTGAGGGTAAGCTTCAATCAGAATTTGGAAGCCCCTGTCCAGGAGGAAGGTGCCTTGACAATTGAAAAATTGATAAGATTGCATCAAACCAACACAACAGCCGCCGAATAATCAATGCTTTGAATGTTGTGACACTGCATGCTGACATCCTGCCTTCCTCCTTGGCATTTCCTGGCAGGGGAAAGTGGGCTGGGCTTTGTCCCTGCCGTTCATCCGAAAAACAAATGCCCCCTGACTACCCCGCAACACCTTGCAAACTGCACATGTGGCTGCGCACAACAAAAAAGAACATTCAGCTCCTGGCAACTCAACAGTGTCTGTGCGGACTCGACCACCTACGGCATCTGAGGCTTCAAACACTTCCACTTGAATTCCTGCTTGCCGAAGACGGCGTGCACAGACCAAGCCAGCCACTCCGGCCCCAACAACCTGGTGACTATGACGCTTCAAGAAAGGCCGTTGGCCAAAGGGTCAAGTTGTCCACACATTGAAATTTGTTGCAGTTCCCCACTAACTTTATTTTTCAGATCCGAGGATCTGCCACACAGCAACCTCTTGGAGTATTGGAGCTTTTGCCACTGGTTTTCAAAAGGGACCTCATCGAAGGCTTTGATGCTCCCCTGGTAATGGCAATGCTTCTGCCGCGCTGCAACTGGGGACTGATTGTCCAAACATACAATGGAAACACGACCAAGCTTTGCAGCCAGCTCAATATCCAAAGCCAGCGGGATTTACAGCGCATTCAAAAGTTAAGTTTTCAGAAATACGCTGTTTGAACACATAGATTCAAGATCTGATGCCATCAAAACGTGCTTAACCAACCCACATGTCAGTGTACACATCTAAAGAACCTTTTGTTGGTTCATGTCGATTACAAATTACAAGAAACAAGTGTGCTGTGAGCCAGTGGCATCAGAATGCAAAAACATGTTTGGGACCAAGTTGCTTTGGTGAGCCAAAGGGGTCAAAAGCAAACAATGTCACTAAAAATGGTCGAAAAATCAAACTCAACAAAAGTCCTGCACACAAAAACACCTGCCGACAGTGTCCAACATGACATGCCAGCAAAAACGGAATGTATGTATATATATATATAATACATAACGGGCACTCCTGGCAGCGCAGTTTTCTGGCAAATGTGTGTTCTTTTGGGTGAACATTTGTCAAGAAAACTGCACTGCCAAAAATGGATGTACAACAATTGCATCCAGCAGGCTTTCCAAAAAATAAAACCCTGTTTCAGAGAGTCTTGACTGAACCCCCCCAGAGGACAAAACTGTGAAAACATGTGTTTGATTGATTTTCTGTTTTGGTATTTGTCCACAGGGTCCAAATGTTTCGACAGAGTGCTCTCCTGGTAGTGTAGGTTTCTTGACAAATTTTGAGTTTTCTCGCAAATGTGTGTTCTTTTGAGTCAACATTTGTCAAGAAAACTGCGCCAGGAAGGCACCCTGTTAAGATTTGCTGAGGCAACTACACTGCGAGGAGGGCACTCTCTTAACCTTGTCCAGAAAACTACACTGCCAGGAGTGCACTCTGCAGAAGATTCTGCACTTTGTGGACAATTCTTGAAGAAAACAAGCTAAAACACACCCAAAAAAACATGTTTTCAGAAGTTTGTCCTCTGTGGGAGGGTTCAGTCAAGACTCTCATAACTAAATTTGTTTGTGTTGTCTCAAGGTGTTTGTGTTTTTGTCCCATGGGGCAAGTATTTATGTTTTCCATGATTTTTCAAGTGACAGGTAAATATAAATTGCATGAGACTAATGAAAACATACATCTCTGGGAAATCTACTTTCCCAGAGATCCAGAGGAACGATATAAAAATGAAAGTGTTCAACGATATAAAAATGAAAGTTTTCAAACAAAGTTTTTCAATATAGACGTGATCAGTCCCAGAGATCCGGAGGTAAGTTTGTGAAAAATATGTTTTTATATGTTTATACAAAGTGTTCTAAATATGAATATATTCATGCCCAGAGATTCTTTCTGTTGAAATACACAGTTTCTATATGTAATATTGAAACAATTGATCATTCCCAAAGATCTAGGGGACAGCTCTTGAAATGCACGCGCTTATATTAGGTTTGAAAATAGATGTGAACGATCCAAGAAATCTAGGGAACAACTTTTGGAATAGACACTTACAATGTAGAAGGCGTTTTTATAAAAATATTAAATTTTCAGAAACGAAAAGCGAACCTTTAAAATAATTGTTTATATACATTGTTTTGAAATATGGAAATGATTATTATCAGAGATTTTAAGGAAAAATTTTTGAACAAAAAGGCATTCAAACATAGTTTTTTAATGTGAAAAGAACAATGTCCAAAGATCAAGAGGAAAGCTCTTGAATTTGCAGATTGTTTTTGAAATTTATTTTGCTACAGAAAGTGATCATTCCAGAGATCGAGGGGAAAACTGTTGGCATTGATGTTTTTATACAAAGCCTTCTTAATAAAGAAACTATGATTCCAGATACTATTTGCAATTCTACATGCATTTGAAATCAATGTTCTTTTAAAATCAATACGAAATTTAATTCGGATCTAAAAACCGTTAATTCAAATCCAATTTTTATAGATTCAAGTCAAGCCTGATTCCAGTTTGTTAAAAATTGAATTTTTAGAAACAATTGTCATTCCAATATGAGTCAACTCTTATTTGCACACTTCAAAGTTGTTTTTTGTTCAAGTCTCACTTTACTTCCAAAGAACAAGTGTTGCTAGGGGTATGAACCTGAAACTAGACGACGGTTGGCCCGAGAGCGAGACATGTAATTGTCCAGCACTGTCGAAAAGATGTATAGAAAGAGAGAAAGAGAGGCTGGATGTGAAGGAGTGACACTGTGATGTGCAGGTGCGATATAGATCTGTAGATGTATGGAGGTGGAGAGGTAGATCTGTGGATGTGAGCGTGCGAAGATGTAAATGCACAGAGACGAGAGAAAAGATATGTATTTTTTTTGCACGAGTCGAGGCGCTGTGTGTGCAGGTTATGCACAAGTCACCTTAAGCTAGTAAAAGAAAGAGAAATGAACCGGCCAACAACGGAAAACGAAGCAACCAAACCAGCCCCCCCCAAACCAAACAAAAGGCAAACAACACAAAAAAACCCACCAGAACAAGGCACGGTTCATATCTCTGAATGGCTGAGTCAGCCTGAAAGTGGTGAAACGGAATACGGCCAGGGGCAATGAATTCTTCCCTTACGCTCAGTACGTCATCATCAGGTTCTTGTGCTTCATTTGCATCGAAGGAGAATCACTGCTCTTTGATTGACAAACTCATCTTCCTTCATGACACAAGGGC